GTGTTGGTGTGTGTGTGTGTGTGTGTGTGTGTGTGTGTGTGTGTGTTGGAGTCTCACTGTTGCCCAGGCTAGAATGCAGTGGCATGCACTCACGGCCCCCGCAGCCTCAACCTGCTGGGCTCAGGCAGTCCTTCCAACTCGCCTTCCAAGTAGCTGGACCTGCAGGCGCACACCACCACGTCCAGCTGATGTTTTTATTTGTTGTAGAGAGGAGGTCTTGCCGAGTTGCCTAGGCTGGTCTCGAACCCGTGGGCTCAGGCATTCTTCTCACCTCAGCCTGGGAAGGAATGTTTAATTAAAGGAGGAATTCTCTTGATGATGTGACAAGACTTTGTTAAAATTTTTAGTTGGGCTTTGTTTTCTTGTTTCTAAGCTTTTGTTTTATGCATCTCGGTGATACCAGTATTTTGGGGTGTTGAAATTATCTAGATTGTGAGCACAAAAATAAGCACAGAGTCGGAATCTGCCTTTTTGTTTTAAGGTGCAGAGCATGAGGTATGGCTGTTTGAATCTAGTGGAGCATAACATTCTTGAGTGTTCTGATGAATTATGAATTTTTAAGAAGAAATGTTAATTAAATGACAGATTGACCACCATACTCTAAAAGGTGTTAAGTACAGGGACTTAAGAATTTGAGAGGTCTTCTGCTTGTTGAGATGACTTTGGACAGTGGACATTGCCTCTCAGGTCCTCCATCTTCACTTGAAATACAGGAATAAAATCCGGCCGCGTATGTGAAGTGTTTCATGCCCACCCAGTAGGTGATACCAGTTACAACATGTGATTTCTGAATTTTTGTCTTTATTTAATGCCAAGGCAATACAAGATACAATGCAAAGTTTCTAAATTACAGTTTTTGGAAATGGGTGAGGTACGTATGTGAAAATGACGTATAAAAATCTGTATGCTAAGTGCAGTCTTGGACCTCATTTTTCCTCAATTGTAAAATGAGGGTATTAGTATCATAGATTTTTAGTATTCTGTAAGTGAATACAAAGACCCTTAGAATACAATTCAACACACAAGTGCTCGATATCATCTATTTTATAATTATTGTTTGGTTGAGTATCTTTGATACTAAAAGTAGAGACTAAAGAAATTAGAGTAGCTCGTGGGTGAAAAAGGCAGATTATCGGGTAGCTGGGAAGAAACTGGAGAACAATGCCAGGTACAAGAGTGGACACTCGGTTTTGGTGTTTTTACTGAAAATAAGAGATTAAGTGATTTATTTAAAGCGGCAAAGCTATCTGGAGGCAGAATTCAGTACAACTAATGGTTCTTGCTTCCTGATTGAATCTACTAATCATGTACAGCATACCACCTATCTCCCAATTTTTATTCTTATTAAATTTGCTGTTCTTGGCTGGACATGGTGGCTCATGCCTGTAATCCCAGCACTTTAGGAGGCTGAGGTGGGAAGATTGCTTGAGCCCAGGAGTTCGAGACCAGCTTGGGCAATTTAGTAATACCTTGTCTCTACCCCCCAAAATATTAACTATTAAAGTCTAGGCCAGGCTCTGTGGCTCAGCCTGTAATACCAGCAATTTGGGAGGCTGGGGTGAATGGATTGCGTGAGTCCGTGGGTTCAAGACCAGCCCAGGCAACTTGGTGAGATCTCATCTCTACAATAAATAAAAAATTAGTCGGGTGTGATGGCGCATGCCTATAGTTCCAACTACTTGGAAGGCTGAGGCAGAAGGATCACCAGAGCCCAGCAGGTCAACACTAAGGTGACCATGAGTGTGCCACTGCACTCCAGCCTGGGTGACAGAGTAAAACTCCAACTCAAAACAAATGAACAAAATATAGATTCTCAGGCCTGAGATTCAGGATCAGAATGACTAAGACCTTTTAAAATAGCGGTAACTTTCAGAAGAGTTAGGCTTTGATAACAAGCCAGACTTGGGGACTGTTGCTCAAGGAGTTAACTGTTTGGAGAAGATGAAGTATGTACTGAGCCCAGGAGTTCGAGACCAGCCTGAGTAGCTTGACTAGACTGTGTTTCTACTCTTAAAAAAAAAAAAATTAGCCAGGCCTGGTGGTGCATGCCTGTAGTTCCAGCCACTTGGAAGACTGAAGCTGAAGGGTTGCCAGAGCCCAGCAACTCCAACCTGGGCGACAGAGTGAGACTGACCCCCCCAAAAGTAGGTACTGTACAAATAGGCAGTAACAGTTGTTATGTGGAACGTGGGGAGTGCCCAAGAAGATTTCTTGGAAGCCTCTGGCCGGCACGAAAAGTAGAAATTGCTGTATGTTTTGTTGAACGCTCTTATGATGGGCGGGATTATCTGCAAGTCATTGAGCCAGATTGTTTTTCTGTTTTCGTGTTTATGTCAAATAAAATATTTTCCTTATGTTATGGGATTTCTCCCCCCACCTGACTACACTTTTTGGAAAACTTTAGTAGGTCACTAACACAGGATTGGGTCCCATTAAAATAAATCTTTCAAGAATTCAAGTCTTTAAAAATAGAACTCTTAGACTCTGGGCAACTATTTTGACATTGTGGTGTGGGTTGCTTCAAGATTCAAGCCTGATAATTCTAGGTCAGTGCAATAGATGTGTGTTAAAGCCTCCTAAGAGTACTTTTCACAGCCATCTTCTTCTTCTATTAAATATTTCTCTTGCGTTGGCATTGCTTGTATTGGCAGCTATATTTGGGGGAGTTTTTTGGCTTCTGACTGTAGGATGAGTAGCAACATCTTTTATTTATTTTTTATTTTATTATTTTTTTTTTGAGTTGGAGTCTCACTCTGTCACCCAGACTGGAGTGCAGTGGCCACTCCCGGCCACCGCAGCCTCGACCTGCTGGGCTCCAGCGATCCTTCCACCTCAACTTCCCGAGTAGCTGGAACCACAGGCGCGCGCTACCACGCCCGGCTAAATTTTTTGATTTATTGTGGAGATGAGGTCTCGCCAAGTTGCCCAGGCAGGTCTCGAACCCACGGGCTCAGGCAGTCCACTCACCTCAGCCTCCCAAAGCGCGGGATTACAGGCTGAGCCACCGAGCCCGGCTGGAGAGCCTTCTTAAGTTCTCCTATGCCCCATAAGTCTTCATATGTTTAAAAGAACTCATTTTTGCATACAACTAAGTATAAAGGTTTATAGTAAAGTCTTAAACTTTCCTGAATTAATTTAAACTTTTGAATTATCAAAAATTAAATGGTATCCGGGTGTGTTGGCTCGCGCCTATAATCCCAGCACTTTGGGAGGCAGAGGTGAGAGAATTGCCTGAGCCTAGGGGTTCAAGACTGGCTTGGGCAACTTGGCAAGACCTTGTCTCTATAGTAAGTTTTAAAAACTAGCCTGGTGTCACCCCTATAGTTCAGCTACTTGGAAGGCTGAGGAGGAAGGATCGCCTGAGCCTAGCAGGTCAAGGCTGCCATGGCCGTGAGCGTGCCACTGCACTTCAGCCTGGGTGACAGACTCTGACTCAAAAAAAAAAAATAGTAAATTGTATTCATCTTCTGGGTGAAACTTTTGTTTTTTGTTTTTGTTGTTGTTTTTTCAAGATGTTTTGAACTTCTGGTATGAAGCAATTCTCCAGCCTTCCCAAATGCTAGGATTACAGGCATGAGCCACTACACCTGGCCGGGATGAAGATTTTTTAACCCCGTCTGGCAACTTTCATGCTGATCTGTCTCCCTTAGCATCAGAAGTTATATGCTTTAAGAAATGGAATACAATTTTTGGTTACTTTAAAGAAAACAAAATTCATTATTATACAGATATATGATGTTATCCAAAGTTAATTAGTTTTACTATTTATTTGCTCTTTGTGTGTGTGTGTGTCTCATTCTGTCACCTACGCTGGAGTACAGTGCCACAGTCACAGCCCACTGTAGTCTTGACCTCCTGGGCTCTGGTGATCCTTCTTCCTCAGCCTCAGCCTTTTGAGTAGGTGGGACTACAGGCACATGCCACCACACTTGGTTGGTTTTTTTTTTTGTTTTTGTAGAAGTGAGGTCTCACTATGTTGTCCAGGCTGGTCTTGAACTCCTGGGCTCAAGCAATCCTTCTCCCTTGGCCTCCCAAATTCTGGCATTACACACATGAGCCACCACACCTGGCACTGTTGACTTTTTGATGGCCTTACTATAGATAAGTAATCAGAAATTGACTTTTAATTAATAGTAATGTCTTTAAAAATTGAGTTACTTGCTTGGCTATTTACAGCTAAACTTAGAACGTTTTCTCAAATGATGGATTGCTTTTAATTTATTCAAATTGCCAAACATTATTATAAATCTGCTTGGGGGTGAATTTGCATGTGTATCGTATACAGAGCATTGTTTAGCTAGTGGGTGAACACTTTTTGATTCATGTGAAGATGATAACTAGACTTTGTTTGCAGAAAGCCACAAAGAAAACAGATAAACCCAGACTAGAAGACAAAGATGATCTAGATGTAACAGAGCTCACAAACGAAGATCTTTTGGATCAGCTTGTGAAATACGGAGTGAATCCTGGTCCCATTGTGGGTAAGTTGATAAAACTTCACATGCAATATTTTTCCCCACTTTCACATGCAAATTGTTTTCCCTACTTGCCCAGCTATTAGTTTGGCTCTGGGGACCGGTTTTCACTAATCTGGTGGTGATGATTATAACTTAGTTTTGGAGGACCTTGGCAAGAACCTCAATTTGAGAAAAAGCCACTTTGATCTTCTAAGTTGTGTAAAATTGTGAACGTGACGTTTGTGGGTTTTGCTATAGGTATAGTTGCAAACAAGGATGTAGAATATTTTGTTTTAATTTATACATTGCTTCCAAATAGGTAATAAGGAACCTCTTAATATAACTACCAAGAGATATATAATACCCTTTTTAGATTTGGCATTTAAAATTCCAAAAGGGGACACAGAAAAATACTGTCTATATCAACATATACTAAACTATATGTTGATTATATAGTTGTATTAACTGTTCACCTTAAGACTAATAGAACATTTCCAGATACGTGTTGTTTCTAAGAAATATTCATTGTCATTTTGCTCATCATACAGAAATTAAGGAGAGCCATAAAGTTAGCAGTATAAAACAATGAAAACGTAATGAAATGAAAGCTATTCTGATTTTAAGCTAGCATCGATTTTAAAATGCGCTAAGAATTTGTAATCAATTTTGTTTTGTAGTTTCTGTTTATAATATGTGTTCCATAAAAGGTCATTTTAACTCCAAAGTTGTTACATTTAAATGTGATGTAAAAACTTTTCCCCATAACTGAATGGCTAATTATAGGCATCTTAATCTCTTAAGAGTTGTGGGGCTTTAATCATAGTTATTCTTCTGAAGGATACAATCTGTTTACAAAAATGATTTTTCTACGTAAGCAAGTACTATTACTTAGTATTGAAGAAAACATATTAGTCCAAGATTTCCATCAAAAATTCTCAGTTATATGTGGCCCTTCAGTAGGTAATCTGTAGGAAGACCTCTATCAATCTATTATGTCATTCATGCTACTAAAAGAAACATTTTTGTAGTCACATGTTAAAACCCCAGAAAAACACCTGTTGTGGAAAAGAGTCTGTTGTATAGTTTAAGCACTTGAGGCTAGAAAAGGAAAGGGTGAAAGTGAGTTTAAAAAGTCGCTGAAGATACTGTCTGTGGTGGACCTTAAATAAGGCGATCCAAGCACTCACATAAGTTCTGCCTTAACTCAGGAACAACCAGGAAGCTGTATGAGAAAAAGCTGTTGAAACTGAGAGAACAAGGAACAGAATCAAGATCTTCTACTCCTCTGCCAACAGTTTCTTCTTCAGCAGAAAATACGAGGCAGAATGGAAGTAATGATTCTGACAGATACAGTGACAACGAAGAAGGTAAAATGTTCAGCGATGTTAGTTAAACGTCTGTACTTTTTTTTCAGATTTGTAAAATACAGTGACCATGAAGAAGGTAAAATTTATAAGAATCTTGACAAGATATGTGTAATTTTTGTTTGCATCCTAGAGTAATTCTAGAAGTAATTTGATTTAAATACTTTTTTGTGGAGAATTCTAAGAAACAAAAATTAGTCTCATTTTCCATCACCTTAAATTGCCACTTTGTCTTTATTGTCTCGAATCTCATTTTTCTAAGAGAATAAAGTATTACAAATAAAGGCACTCTTATTTCACTGTCAACTCCATAGATGCAACCACTATCATTACTTTGATGCTTATCTTTCCAGTTCGTGTTTTATATTTTTAGATATATATATCTAACACATGATATGTTTTGTGCTTTTAAAAAATCTGTAAAACTGATACGCTAAATTTTACCGTTTGGTTTTTCTTACTCCACAATCTATTTTTTAGATCTAATCTTATTGATTTATTACATTTGTTTATTTTTCATAATTAATATATAGTGGTAGCATTTAAATATGACATATTTTCTCTGTTCTCTATTGATAGGCATTTAAATAGTTACAGTTTTTGTTAGGTCATCTGGTTTCAAGGTAACTTTAAAGCAAATATTTTGACCATGTTATTAGACTATCTACTATCAAGAAAATTTGACCATTATATTTTTGAGAGTAGTCCATGAAATGAATACTCTTTTTAAAATTACTATAATTTGAGTTTTGTAAACTTAATTCATACGACTTGTTAATTTGTGTTTATTTAATTTGACCCAAATTACTTATAGCTGCATAAGTATTGCCTGCCAGGGCACAGCCTGGCTAATTGGTTGTCCAGAATTTGAAATATAGTCTTTTTCTTCAACAGCCCTATCTTTAGCAAAGAGGCAAAGAATAAAATCAACTCAAACATAAGTAATGCTTAAACTTCCTGCCTCTTTTGCCTCTACAGGAAAGAAGAAAGAACACAAGAAAGTGAAGTCCACTAGGGATTTTGTTCCTTTTTCTGAACTTCCAACTACTCCCTCTGGTGGATTTTTTCAGGATATTTGTTTTCCTGAAATCTCCACCCGTCCTCCTTTGGGCAGGACTGAACTACAGGCAGCTAAGAAAGTGTATGCTTCTAAGGGAGACCCACCTAGGGAGCCTCTTATCGCTACAAGCTTTCCTGGTAGGGGACAGTCACAGAAGTTAGCACCGGGAGGGCATTTGTTTATGTCCTCCAAGTCTAGTCATGATAGTGGTTTAGAGAAAAACTCTTCGACATCTCAGCATGAACTCACTGCCAGGTTGGTCTCTACTGCAGCTTCTCCTTCTCTGGTTAAAGAAACCACCACTACTTGCTGTAAAGACACAGTAGAAAGTATTTACAGTACAGAGAAAAGTGGAATTCAACCATTATGTCCTGAGAGGTCCCGTATTTCAGATCAGTCGATTTTCTCCAGTAAAAGAGCACTAGAGGAGTCTGAAAGATCACACCAAATTTCTCCACCACTTGCTCAGGCAATCAGAGATTATGTCAGTTCTCTGTTGGTCCAGGTTGGGGTCAGTAGTTTGCCTGGGACTTCTAACTCCACACCCCCACTGGATATAGAAAACATTTGGAAGAAAATTGATCAGTTTAAGTTTCAAGAAACTGAATCCCTGTCTCCTCCACGAAAATTGCCTAGACTCAGTGAGAAGATAGTAGAGGAAAGGGCTTCTGGTTCCTTTGTGGCATTTCAGGATATACCTGGATCTGAAATGATGCCTTTTGCCAAAACTGTTGTCTCTCATTCACTCACTACTTTAGGCACAGAAGTGTCTAAGCAATCACAGCGTGATGAAATCGATGCCTCAGAGCTGTCTTTTCCCTTCCATGAATCTATTTTGAAAGTAATTAAAGAAGAGTGGCAGCAAGTTGACAGGCAGCTGCCTTCATTGGCATGCAAATATCCAGTTTCTTCCAGAGAGGCAACACAGATATTATCTGTTCCAAAAGTAGATGATGAAATCCTGGAGTTTATTCCTGAAGCCACTCCACCAGCAGGTGTTCAGGCAGCCTCCACCAAGAATTGTGATAAACAGTTGGACACAGCATTCTGTAGAGCGTATGAAGCTGCAGCATCAGCATTGCGGGTTGCAACCCACACTGCCTTTGTAGCTAAGGCTATGCAGGCAGACATTAGTCAGGTTGCACAGATTCTTAGCTCAGATCCCAGTCGTACACACCAGGCACTTGGGATTCTGAGCAAAACGTATGATGCAGCCTCGTATATTTGTGAAGCTTCATTTGATGAAGTAAAGATGGCTGCCCATACCATGGGAAATTCTACTGTAGGTCGTCGATATCTCTGGCTAAAGAATTGCAATATTAGTCCAGCATCTAAGAATAAGCTTGCTGTTACTCCCTTTAAAGGTGAAACATTATTTGGAGGAGAAGTAAATAAAGTAATTAAAAAGCATGGAAATAAAAAGTGAAGAACAAAGACATCTCTCTTGTCTTTGATATGGGGATCTTAGGAGCTTTTCTAGGAATTTCAGGTACTTTTATTTTGTACTTTTTAGTCTCCAGGCTGGACTAACTTCAAAATATTAAGTATACCTATCAAATTATAGAATAAAAGTAATTGCTTGTATATAACTGCTTTTTTTTTTTTTTTAAAGACTTGCATAGACAGAAAGCCTGGTACAAACAATTTAAAGCTTTCTAGATCACATAATAGTCTCTAAATAGTTTACTGGTTCCTATGTTACTTATGCTTTTACCTATTCAAAACTAAGAAAATTCCAGTAACTGGAGATATAAGTATTCTGCGTTGTTTTCTAAGAGTATACTATCCATTTTCCTATATATCTAGAATAGAATTAAACACTTATTACACACTCAAAACAATGATTTTGTTCTTTTTGATACTTCTAAGACTTTCTGAAACTTGTTCATGTTTTTGCTTTTCTTTGTTTTGAGTATTTACCCATGTCTGCAATATCATTCATAATAATCTAGATCAACACAACTCAGAATACCAGTCTACAGACTTACTGATACACATACAAGAGAAGCATACACAAGAATTTATATCCAGAGACACTTTTTAAAAGTCACTGACAGGATTTATTTTATTGATAGTAAAAACAGTGTATTGGTTTACGTGCTGAAGAAAGTGACTCATCTCTTTATTGGCTGGTAGCAAATAGTTCATGGACCACCAATCCATGAAGCTCACTTTAGTTGATAATAGATATTCTGGCATAATGTATCACTCTTGTCACATGAACTAGAAACTGGAAAAATGGGGCTTTCTAAAAAATAATACTTTGTTTTCAAAGTATGTTGTATTTCATAGAAGATTAGGCTTAATAATCTAGACTCCACAAGCAAATTTAAATTATTACCTTTTTGAAGCCATAGGAAAGTATATGATATCGCAGTATTTGTATGTCTGTATAAAGCAGTGTATTACCCTCTTATTTCTATGATTGTAAGATAAGAGAGTCTAACTGTGGAGCTATTGTGGAAAATGGACTTAAGTGTAAGAAAATACGTGGGTACTTCTCTAGCCATTACCATATTCTTAGACTACACATGTCCATCTTAGCAGCCTTCTGGGAATAATTTGTTATTTGTCTTCTATACATGTACCTACTGAGTGCTATGTGATTTTTTTTTAAAAATGTATTACTGTAGAATGCTTCTGCAAATTCAATAAAGTTGTTAAATTTGAACAGTTTTGTGTGGTTTCCAGAAACATGTTGTATGTGTGCTTTATTCTTGGAGTTGCAAGAAGTTTAATATTTGTGGACAAACATCCCTTTTCCATTTCATCATTGAAACTCACTTGACATTTCAATGGTATAATTGAAAATATTCTAATTATTGTATGGTTTTTCTTCTATTTGAAGACCATGTTTTGTTTTGTTTTTAAGATTAGAAAATATAGTTTATTTAGAAAGTAAATTTATAGAGAAAGGAGATTTATCTCCCCAAGGCAGGAGAGGGGGCCGAAGGCAGTGGCCGAGGACCCTCTTTTTTTATTTGTTTGTTTGTTTTGTTTTGAGTTGGAGTCTCACTGTGTCGCCCAGGCTGGAGTGCAGTGGCACGCCCACGGCCACCCCAGCACCAACCTGCTGGACTCCGGCGATCCTTCCGCCTCAACCTTCCAAGTAGCCGGGACTACAGGAGCACGCTACCATGCCCAGCTAATTTTTTTGATTTATTGTAGAGACAAGGTCTTGCCAAGTTACCCAGTCTGGTCTCGAACCCCTGGTTTCTGGCAGTCCTCTCGCCTCAGCCTCCCAAAGTGCTGGGATTGCAGACTTGAGCCACCACGCCCTGCCAGAGGGCCATGTTCTTTTTTTTTTGAGTTGGAGTCTCACTCTGTCGCCCAGACTGGAGTGCAGTGGCCGCTCCCGGCCACGCAGCCTCGACCTGCTGGGCTCCAGCGATCCTGCCACCTCAGCCTTCTGAGTAGCCAGAATTACAGGCGTGCGCTACCACTCCCGGCTAATTTTTTTTTTTTTTATTGTAGAGATGAGGTCTCTCCTGCCCAGGCGGGTCTCGAACCCACGGGCTCAGGCAATCCACTCACCTCAGCCTCCCAAAGGCGTGGGATTACAGGCTGAACCACCGAGCCCAGCTAGAGGGCCATGTTCTTATTGGCTGTTGGGATCTAAATTTGTAAGGACTTAATCTGTAACCAGATACCTTATTGTCTATCAATTTCTGCTAAACTAATAATGGGTTTCTTGTTTTGTGCTTTCTAGTTTTTAGATTCTGAGTTAACAAAGCATAAAAAAAGATTTGTATTACTAAGGGTGTACCAAATATAGAAATAGTGATAGATCCATTAATAGAAGTACTGGGGAGATGGGGGATGAAATTGATAGCTTAATCCTAAAGAGTGAACTGTTTGAACTAACTTGGTAAAGGTCACTGTTGTTTGGTTTGGTTTGTTTTTGGGACAAATCTGCAAGTAGATTCTGGACTAACTAGTATTATACTGTAGAGTTAGGAAGACACATGACTGTCTTGGCTACTTTTTAGCACAACTACATTGAGTTCATACAAAACTAAGTTTTGTTTAAGAATTGACTCTATTCCTGTCTCGTAAGAAAGTAATCGAACTTAATTTTTTGGTAGAAGTTTTAGAATAACTGACTTACTCATTTTGCTATGATATGATAAATGTCCTCAAAAAGAGGAATGTTAGCCAGAATTTTTATCAGTTAAAAAAAAAAAATCTAGATCTTTAAATGGTGATCAAATCAAGACAAGGAGAATGGAATATTGAAACCTGTTAGAAATTTGTGTCTTTAGCCGGGCCAGCATTTTGGGAGGCTGAAGCAATAGGATTGCCTGAGCCCAGGGGTTCAGGACCACCCTGGGCAACCTGGCGAGACGTCGTCTCTACAATAAATCATTGAAAACTTAGCCGGGCATGGTGGCACACGCCTGTAGTTCCAGCTACTTGGAACCGAACTGAGGAGGAAGGATCGCCTGAGCCCAGCACATTAGTTGCTGCTGCAGTAACTGTGAGCATGTCACTGCACTCCAGCCTGGGCAACAGTGAGTCCGACTCAAAAAAAAGAAAGAAATGCATATCTTTGAGTTGTTGAGTTAATAACCATGATTGTGATAAGTAACATATAAGTACTGACTTCTCTTCAAATGTTATTTTTATTGTAGGGAGGCAAAAGAGAAGCAACCTCTAATTGGTTGTACTTTTCTGTGAACAAGATTCATTCTTATCCAGGTTCTTTGTAACTACATCAAAAAAGGAAGGAAAGACTTTATATTTGAACCTCACTCTGTCTCACAGGCTGGACTGCAGTGGCACACTCACAACCACCACAACCTTGACCCACTGGGTTCAGGCCATCGGAAGAAGAGACTTGTAACTCAACTTATTAGCATCATTGACAGTTATTAATTTAAAGGCTCGATACCATGTGAGCTTTTTCATTAAGTTTTCTTCCATATTCCAAATTGTAATTTAATAAGGTAACCTTGGTCATACAGTAGCAGTGTACTTACTATAGAGATAAAATAGTGGTAGCAACTATGCTTTTTTTTTATTTTTTGAATCGGAGTCTCACTTCCGCCCAAGCTGGAGTGCACCTGCCATGCTCAGGTGATCCTTCCACCTCACCCCACCATGCCCAGCTAATTTTTTGATTTATTGTAGGGAAGAGGTCTCACCATATCGCTTAGGCTGGTCTCCAACTCCTGAGCTCAGGCAACCCTCTTGCCTCTGCCTCTCAAAGTGCTGGGATTACAGATGTGAGCCACTGCGCCCTGCTGCAACTAAGTATTTTAAATATGCTTTTGCCTTGTCTCAATTGTTTTTAGTGAAAATGCTCCATGGGAGAATTTTGAATTAACTTTATGTTTAAAGCTATTCCAGAAAATGGAAAGGAGAATAGGTAGGGAAGAGTGCTGATAGAGTAGAGTGATAAAAATGGAGTAAAATAATGGTAAAGAAACGTTTCTAAGGTAAATTGCAGTTAAGCCATTTTGGTCTGTCGGGGGATTACCGATAGGCAGACTCAAACTTGTTTTACCTATTAATGAGCCTAAAATTAGGGCTCCAAAGTAATATATTAGGATAATATCATGACTTATTGTGCGTTTCAGAGAGTAATGGTTTCTCCGATGTTATTTCCAGACTCTAAAATAGAGCTCAAGCTTGAGAAGAGAGAACCTCTAAAGGGCAGAGCAAAGACTCCAGTAACACTCAAGCAAAGAAGAGTTGAGCACAATCAGGTATCTCTAGTTCTTTGATCACCATGTACAGGTGTAAGTAAGCGGCTGACAACACTGATCAGTCTGTTTTAGCCTTTATTTGAGGTTTACACCCACATAGCATCTACTCAACACTGCACTGTTAATTCCGTTGTTAGTTAAATGGCACTAAGAATCTAAACTTTGGGAGTTTGTCAATAGTGTAACCTGTGCCTGCTGAAAAGTGTTAACGTCTCGTTTGTATTTGATTCTGTGCTCAGTATAGGTCAAAGCTAGTTATACTGCTTTTTGAGAGAAAAGTTTTAAAAGGTGGAAATGCCTAAGCACTTTTGATACAGTTTCTTTAAAAGGCAGAGGAAGGGTTTTAGATTTGTGTCTTTGTCTCTAAATTTTTTACTTTTATTTTAGCCTGTCTTCTGTGACTTTTCCAACTCTGAGGTTAGTCTGGTCCTAAGATGACAGTTTTCTTTCCTTATTTTAAGTAAAATTTACCTTTTTTATTGTGAGAGATGGTTCCATTTTTCAAAAGGAAACTAAGGGGAAAATAAATAAGCATAGATATAAATGGATACATTGTTATAGAAAACAAATTATTGACCCTTATCTAGCATTGACTTGGCTGGTGCTTTATAAGACAGACTAGAAGATTTGTCTAGTTGGCTATTTTTTCGTCTCTCGTTTGGCATTTTAAAATCAGATCCTCAGCAGAAGTTTTGTTTTGTTTTGTTTTAAAGCCAGGTTCCTTTCTTCATTTGATACAGATAAGTTGAATTTTAGAACTATTTGTTAGAGATGAGCTTGGTGGTTCTGGATAATGTGTAGAGCATTGAATGAATTAAGATTTTGTTGACTGTGGAGCCAAATACGCGAGTAAATATTTTGTTGCCCTTTTATCTAGTATTGCTAACAAAGAACTTTAGGGGCATACTGAAGAGTAAGGAAATAACTGAGCAAAATAAATTATGAAAACCTTTTGAAGGACACTGAAACAGCATGGAGAATTTTGGTCCAGAGTATGAAGGCAAGATGATATGGTGCTAGCAAGAGATAGTAGGCTGAAAGGAGGGATGGCATTAAAGATGGTTTCAGGGGTAGTTGTTTGAGTTGGGGAATCCAAGCTGAGGGGCAAGATAGTCAAAAAAGAGTGTGGGTTTAGGAGACAGCAGGCAGAGCGGACATTGGAGAAGACTGGGGAGAGTCACAGGTGCTCGAAAGTTACCACTGGTGTGTTACTAGTTTAATTTCACCTTCACCCACATCCTCCAGCCTTTTTTTTCTTTTTCCCTTTTGCCCCAAGTCAGGGTTTCTGTTGCTCAGACTGGAGTGCAGTGGCACAATCAATGGCTCTCCACAGCCTCGACCTGCTGGGCTCAGGCAATCTTTCCGCCTTAGCCTTCCAAGTAGCTGGAACTACAGGCACATGTTACCATGCCTGGATTATTATTATTTTTTTTTTTTGAGTTGGAGTCTCACTCTGTCGCCCAGACTGGAGTGC